TCAAAAAAAAACGACCTTGCCCACTGAGCATGCCCAGCTCACTTGAACTACAAGTGTTGGGCCAGACCAGGTCGACCCAAGGAACGTGCAGATGGGGTTCAAATGGACCCCATTTCTTTAGGACCTTTCCTCCGAAGACCTCTGGCGCTTTACAAATATAGTTTCTACCATGGTGTTGGAAAATATCCAGGGGAGGTTTGGATAGGCCTTCCAAAGGAAAGCAGCCAAGTTTGCTTGTACCAAAATCGCAGTAGTGGGTTTTTCCAATTATTAAGTTACGTACTAATTTCTTTAAATACTGCAGAACTATTAAGATTGACCCAGAAGAATGTCTAGGCTCTTTGCATCCTAAATTCAGTAAGCTCAGGAAACCAGCCCATTCAGTGGATAGCTATCTGATGGAACAGTGGCTGTTAGCCTTGGCTACTGAAGGGGTTCTGAACAGGCCTCATCAAGATGTGCTACTTTGGCAAGTGGATTATTTTGAGCTGACACAATGGAGACCCTATAGGGGACCCATGGAGAAACTTTTGCCTCTCCCATAAAGAAAATTGGGGGCCTGCAGATAATATGGGTTATTACAAGAAATAACATTTTATGACTTATCTATAGGGCAGGGCAAACATCTGATTACTAAACATCTGCACTTCTTATCCCCCTAACTTTCCTCGTCTCTGAAGCCCCAGGAGCCTGATGTCATTTTAGCTCAGAATGCCGTATGTACCTCATTTTCCCCTTCTGTCTCTGAATCTCTCATGTATGTAGAGTTCCCATAGGTATGTATGTAATTCCATTTGGTTATTTTTCTCTTGTTAATTTCTGTCATCCATTTGATTATTAGACCAGTCAGAGGAAGCCAGAAGGGTGGAGGAAAGCTTGTTGCACCCCTGAAATACACATTAAAATGGGGATGGGGGTATAAAATGACCAATGCTAAGTTCCCATCCCCAGATAATTGAATCGGTCTGTGGATGGAACTTGGAACTATTTATATTTTAAAACTGGGCTTCTCAAAGGGGGAGACTTGGAAGCGAGCAGCATCACCTGAGAACTTCATAGATATGCAAATCTGACTTAACTCCAGATTAAATGATTACTAAATTCCTGGGCTGGGGACTTCCTTTCTGATTTGACCAGCCTTCCCAGTGATTCTGAAGCACACTAAATCTTGAGAAAGGCTGTTTAAAAGCTTCCCCGGGTGACTAATGAGCAGCCATTGTTGAGAACCAATGTAATAGACCAATGCTTTTATATTTTTTCAAATCCCGAACATTTATCTAGAAGAGCAACGTGTTACACAGAATAATCTAGTTGAATTGAGGTGCCAGTCCTAGATTCCTTTCCCCCTAATACACCCAGAAGAGTTCAGTGCTTGGAAAATGGATATTTTGTACTCTGGAGCCTAGCACACTGCCTATAACATAGTAGATGTTTGATAAGCATCTATTGATTTGAAATGAATGCTTAGGTGAACAGTTTGCTCCAGGGCCTGTTATGTCTGCTGTGTATTTTCCCCACAAGTCCTGGTCACCTTGCCACCTAACAAGCCAGCAGGGATTCAGTTCTTATTAATAACCCCCGACCATCTGTGATCGTCTAACCCAGGTCACACCCTGATGGGCCAGGACATGGGAGGAGGTAGAAAATTCAGAGAGGTGAAAAAAGTCAGAAGCATTGGACAGGATTTCTCTTGCCAGAGTTGGGGCCCAAAACAACCAAAGGAAAATGTAAAGACACTAGGCATCCAGTGGAATTCAGGAAAGGCACCAAAGGAAAAGGGTGTGTATGGGAGAGTTTAGGAAGGAGAGACAAGGAAGCTTAAGGTCATCAGCCTACAGTTTACTCTGGATTTTTGTTTTCTAGACAATCCCACCTCCAACCTCCTCTCCCCCACCCTCCATACACACACCTAATCTCATCTACAGCCTTGAAAACAATTTTTTAAATAGGATAGTGTTGTAAAATACAGTATTTATTGCATGAAAACATAGCTGACTTGTAATTAATCAGCAGAAATTAGGTTTCCTTTTTTGTTTAAGGCAAAAATGGTTTTTAAAAAGTTGTCAATTTTTTTTTTAGCTATATCTTTATTGATTTCAGAGAGAGGAAAGGAGAGAGAGAGAGAGAGAGAGACAGAAACATCAATGATGAGAGACTCATTGGGGATTGAGCCAGCAACCCAGGCATGTGCCCTGACCGGGAATCAAACCCTGATCAACTGGATCCTAGGTGGACGCTCAACTGCTGAGCCTCGCCCAGCCAGGCAAAGTTGTCAGTTTTTAAAGGTAAACACTAGATAACTTAAAATGCAAAGGTTTATGATAATTCTACTTTAAGACCCACAGAAACTTATGAAATAAAAAATTATTCCCTATTTACTTCCTCAGTATTTTCTAGAGAGAACAAAATATAAAAATAAATTTTTCCTTTTAACTTTCTACATAAAGCTTTTAAGTTTAAGATACTATTTATGAGTACCTAAAGTATCCTCTGCCTCTCTATTACTGCCCCGATATCTTGCTTCTTATGACAAGAATTCCACTGAGTTTAGTAACTGATTAGGGTATCTAACAGGAGCATAATTTCCCACATGACTAAGCAGTTTCTTTTTATTATTAAGATAATTTTATGGGAAGGAGAGAAATAATTATTAATTTGGGAACTAAACTGCAGAATTAAGTATTATGCTAGATCCACAAACAATATTTTTATTTAAAAAAAAAACCTTATACACACATACACTTGCTACAGCTTCTTTTTGCTCATGGAATTAAAACCAAACAAATAAATAAGTTGAGGGCTAAAAACATGGAAAACTGAGTGAAGGCGTAAGAGGAGAAGCACTTGCCATAACCCAATTTAAAAACATGAAGTAATGACTTCAGCAGAAACAATCTGCTGAAAACCAGGACGTTAAAGTCTTAAGTGTCTCTCCTTGTCATCATAGACATGACTCAGCATTTGGAATGAAATTATGTTTACTGTCTTTCAAATTGAGGGTGTCAAATAACTTTGGTGCCACTTAAGTCTTTTCTCCTGTGCCTAAGAAAACTTCAGGACAGTCATGGATTTTCAGCCTCACATGGGCACCAAAATCTAAAAGGTCTCGTCTTTCCATTCGCCCCTGTCTTACCGAAGCCTTAGTCTGCCCACAATGAATTCATCTTGCTTTTGTAGTGTTGTCAGGTGAATTTAGGTTACCTTCCATATTCTAGTGTGACAAAACCAGAGAGAATCCCTTCCTTTCCCAAGCATGGGAAGTAGGCTACCTGCTGTTATGATATCTGACACCGAACTGCTGGGGGTGAACTTTCCCCAACATGGGGAAACCTTCCACTGGCGATTCTACCAAGCACCTTCAATGACCAGCACATGCCCAGGGCCATCTGTTTTAGAGTCTGGCCATTTCTAGAGTGTCAACGTAAGAACATCCAAGCCTGTAAAGAATTTTATAAAAATTGATTTGAGCCAAACGGGATACACATGGAAGCAAGATTTCAACAGACCGAAAAAATGTTTCTTAGAAAAGCAGTTCTCAACTTTTTTTATGCATTTGAAATTAAGGAGGGAATATAAGAGAGAAGACATGAAGGTAGGAGAAAGCAAGGTGGGATTGAATTATAGAATATTAAGCAAGATTATGTACTCTCTTGAGGGTGGTTTTACTTGAGGGGTCTGAAAAAGAGGCATTTCAAAGGTATGTTAACCAAGATGTAGAGAAACAATGGACAGGGCTTTCTTAAGCAAAGATAAGCCTTTTACTAAAAAGTTATATGCCTGGGGTGTGACTTCTCCCCGTGAATTTTTAATATTTTTTTTTGAATTTTTCAATTACAGTTGACATTAAAAATTTATAATCAGATCGCCCAGTAAGGTTATTTTCCATAGAACCCCTTTTGGGTCCACAAGAGAGAAACAAATTTTCCCCAAATGTTCATTAGCCACAAAAACTCATAAAAATTCCGTAATAAAAGGATTGAAA